GATAGGACATTTCCTTGCGAGGGCGCATATCCGTAAAAAAAAAAAATCAAGAATTGAAATTGAATTGAACTATGTTATTTACAATCCAAGCTGCGAAAGCACATTTCTAGGTGCGAGGTGTATTTAATACCTCCGAACACCTAAATAGTTATTTACATTCCAAGCTGCGAAAGCGTACTTTTAGATGCGTGTTCCAATAGCCGGCTATTTGATAACCTCCGAGCACCAAACAGGACAGCAGCATGTGATCTATTAAACTTTTCATCCTTCCCCCTCAAAAATCGTGAAAAGGCGTGCGAAAGTGAAGGTACCTACAAGCATGTTTCACTTTCGCTTTTGCTCGCCTATGCAAGATAAAAAAATCTACTTTTGTAGGGGGGAGAATGAAAAAGGCTTTTGTAGCGTGTAACGGATTAGATTTCAGTAATATAAACACATGCGACATCTACTTCTAAATACAAACATTGCACCTGGATTTGTGTTTAGGTGTGAAAGAACAATAATTTATCAGGGTCGAAAGTGAGTTCTCCAGGCCGAAAATGACAGGAGAACAGTCACTTTCGGCCTGCGTTAAAGTAATAGTATATTACATACGGAGGTAGAAAGTGTTTTCTGTAAAAGTAAAAGTCAAAAAAGTGACATTTTCAACCTTTTTAAAAGTCAGTAAAGTCAACATTACATGTATAATTGTAAATAAACAAAAGTAAAGTGACATTTTCGAACCTTCAAACCAGTAAGGAATGTGAAAATTACATATTGGTGATTTCAAAATTCAATGCGGCACCTGGCGGAGATATTTGGAACTAACTTAACGAGTAATAGATCGGTTGTTTACATACCGTATTGAAATATTTTCTTGCTTTTTCGATGTTTTCTGTTCGTTCCTAATTTAACTTACGTGTGTTGTGTTGAAAAGTGGGAAATATTAAAAGGAAAGCTTTTATTTTCATTCTGTAAGGTGCTATTATTACAGGAATTCAATGGCATCTGCCTCCAAGTCCAAGCGGTCCAAGCATAACACAAACTGCTGTGTATACGAATGCCATTCTCGAAAAGGTGCAGACAGAACTATTCATTTTCATTATTTTCCTAACAAAAATAGTGATCGTGCTTTCTACGCCAGCCTGCAGTTAGGATAAAACTATGGCCAAACTCAAAAACAGGCCTCCATTTTCCATATTTCGTTGTATGGATACGAAATGCACAAAAGAAAGTCACAACGTTCAAAATTTATAAAATATAGTAAAAAACCACCGAAAAAACTTCTCGTAGTTTTTTCGAGAACGAGAAAATTAGCGAAAGAAATACGAATGCATATAAATACAATGCTGAATGTCAAAATATTACTCGTTCTCCACCATATTTGTTTCCAGACGCCAGCGCCCCCATCAGTAGTCGACATCGCCAATATGGTTTAAAATAATAGTATATTACATATCGAGGTGGAAAGTATTTTATAACTGTCGAGAGATTTTACAACGGTTAGACCGAGGCGCAACCGAGGTTCAACTAAAATCTCGAGACAGTAATGAAACTTTTCACCGAGGTATGTATACTATTTTATTTACAATCATTCAAATTTTGTACTTTTAATTTTGATGAGAACTAAAAAAATACAATAAATTTCAACAATTTCACTTACTTTCGGCCCACGGGAGAAAAGTAAACTTTCAACCCATGGGTGAAAAGTAAAAGTCAAAAAAGTGACATTTTCAAACGTTTTAAAACTCAGAAAAGTCAACATTACATGTATGATTGTAAATAAAATGTTTTTCTATCTTGAATGGGCAAGCGAAAGTGAAAGTAATGACTAGCATGTTTGAATTTCGCTTTCGCTTACCTGTTCAAGACAAAAAAAAAAATTTCTGACGGGAACAATGGAAAGTTGGATACATTACACGCTGCAAAAGCCTTTTTAGTTTTTCGGAGGTACGCGCTTCGCTTCGCCTCGGCTGTTTGAATACACGCACCTAAAAGTACGCTTTCGCAGCTTGGAATGTAAATAACTATTTAGGTTTTCGGAGGTATTAAATACACCTAGCACCTAAAAGTGCGCTTTCGCAGCTTGGAATGTAAATATAGGGACATAAAGCTTCCGTATTTTTTGCTCGGTATCCGTATCGGTATCGTACTGCGCATGTGCAGAAGCGATACGGAGGCCGAGATACCGTACGTACAACGTAACGTTACGGCCCTCTCGCGGTATCCGTATGGGTAACGTATCTTGACATTCCTGACGCATGTGTCAAATTTTAAATGAATAACCTCACTTTTCTTCCGGGTTGATTTAATTTGTTCAGTTTATACTTTCTTGAGTTTCTTGTGTGTTTAGTGCTTCTCTATCGCAAAAAAAAATAACAATTTTAAGGTTAGATATAAAAACGCCGGAGTTTTGAGACAAAAATTTCCAGGTTATGAGATGCGTTTACGTTTACCGGAACAGGGAGCGCTTTAACAGCCTTTTCGCTTGTCAACTATCTAGTTGCGTTACGGATACCGATACCGATACCGGCGAATCATTTCAAATAGCTTTATGTCCCTATTTAGGTGTTCGGAGGTATTAAATACACGTCGCACCTAAAATTGCGCTTTCGCAGCTTGGATTGTAAATAACATAGTTCAATTCAATTTCAATTCTTGATATCGTGGATTGGTAGCTACTTTTAGATACACAACTAGTTCTTCTTCTTACTAATTCTATAGTGCCGTAAAAAAATATGATTTTTTCTGTTTTATCCCAAAAAGGAAGGCAAGAAGGTTTTTTTCTGAAATTATTCTTACTTAAAATATTTGTTTATTTATATTTTGGGCTAGGATAAAGATTCAGACTTGCGGTTTTCACCAGATTCCTTATTTTTTTATCCTCTTTCCATCCAAGTTATAAAAAAAGCATCATTATATTTGAAATTTCCTAGAAAAAATGGAAAATTGCCTACTTTTGGACACAGCGCCCCCTAGCGGCAACAAAACAATTTAACTTTGTTATTTTTGTTGTGCATTTTATTGAACAGAAAAAAACTCTTTCAAATGACACCCGATTCATTGAAATCGGTTAAAAAACAAAAAAGTTATATAATGTTTGTTCCTAACAAGTTTGAACCTTCCCCACCTCTTATTTGAAGAGTTAGGGCAAAAAATCCTTAACAAAATTTTTTCATAATCTCATCAAGATTTCAATAATCATATTTTAAGGATACCTTTAGTGGGCGTTTTCTGAAGATAATCACAGTATTATGTTTTTGAGTGTTCGTTGCGCCCCCTAGCGGTCAACTTACAAGCTTGAAAACTATTTCCAGCAATTTCTCATGGCCTATTTTATAAAAAAAATTTTTACTTGGAAGCTCTAGGACTAACAGTTCCTGAGATATAGCCGGCGACCTTTCTTATTTGGACACCCGGTACAGGGTTATTGGTTATAAATGTCACCCCCCTCTATCTTTTTTATTTGACATTTTAGAAAAAAGTGTCTCAAATAAAAGTTTTATGGTTGAAATTAGATTTTTTGAAAAACTCACTTTCGCATATACAGGGTGTTTTAGAAAAGCTGGTCGTGCTCCCACTTTCTTATTTTAAATGGAATACCCTGTATATTATTGAATATTCGGATTCTACATAAAATTTTGAGCAGATTTCATGTGATATACCCTATACCTAAGTTTAACTGTTTTGGAAATATTGATGGTTGAAAATTGACTTTTTGCAACTTTGACAGGCTGTAAAACCTAAACGGTTAATTTTAGAGCAAAACCGATCTTATGTTTTTATTCTGACATACCAACTTTGAATTTAATCCATGATTAAAAATTCAAATTAAATTTAATCTCCGGTTAAATTCAAAGTTGGTGTCAAATCATAGCTTATGAAAATCTAAGAAAAAAATGTAAGTTCGGTTTTGCTCTAAGATTAACCGTTTAGGTTTCACAGCCTGTCAAAGTTGCAAAAAAGTCAATTTTCAACTGTCAATATTTCTAAAATAGTTGAAAACTTAAGTATAGGGTATATCACATGAAATCTTCACAGAATTTTACGTAGAATCCGAATATTCAATAATATACAGGGTGTTCCATTGAAAATAAGAAAGTTGGAGCACGACCAGCATTTCTGAAACACCCTGTATATGCGAAAGAGAGTTTTTCAAAAAATTTAATTTCAACCATAAAACTTTTATTTGGGACACTTTTTTCTAAAATGTCAAATAAAAAAGATAGAGGGGGTGACATTTATAACCAATAACCCTGTACATAGTTAGTTGAAATGTAACATTATTTTTGATTCTTGTACGTTGCTGATTTCAAGATATTCCAAGGTTAGAATTTCACAAATGTATATACAAATATTTTATCTCACAACATCTTTTAATACTCCCGGAAATGACATATAAACTGTATTGTGTCTACGGTTCACCGGTATATTTAAACGACTTACTCTAGATAATTTTTAAGTTGATTTTTAAATTATTATTAGAATGAAATTGATTATTATGAAAAATTGAATTTCGGTATTATTAATTGCGGCAAAAAAAATTGTTGATTAAAAAATTTTGAGTTCCCATTAGCATAGTTAAAATAAAGCAAACAACATTAATAAAGCACAATTAGAACGACATTAGAGTGCACTAGTTTGAGACTTGAAACAACAAAGAAAACCACATATTAGTTTAAACATTATTACTATGATTAGTGTATGGATTTGTACCTATATTTATAGGTCAAATACTTATCTGTATGTCCAAGAATTAGTAATAAAAAATATTTACCCAGCATGGTAACTAAAAAAATAAAAAAAATTATTTACAAAAATATTACTAAATAATTTGGTTAGCACAACATCTAATAACAACTGTAATGCATAATAGATGAGAAAGATACAAGATAAAAAAAAAAGTATAGTATTATTTTTCATAAATCATTATTATATTGATGAGAACACCATTTGTATCTAAACTATATAGCATTAGTAGAATTTAAAATCTACTTTATTTTATGAAGTATTGTACTTACTAAGAGGCGTCAATGAAGTAAATTACAAGAGATGCAATGCTTAGAATAAACACCAATACAACCTGAAACAAATACAAAATAATTGAAATACATTTTTTAAATGAAAATAAATTAATTATAGAAAAAATATTAAAATTGATAAGGATAGTATAGGGCAAAGAAGTTGCTGCCTCCTACAGTTGGATATAGGCCACTATTTTTTGTAATCCAGTGCCACGTAACCAAACCCTCAATCAATAATAAACAAACAAATAAAAAGTTTGTCTTAAAACTGAAGTAATCAATAAAAAAATAAAACTTTATTTCAAAGTTGTACAAATCGCGGAACTATGGAAATAGAGTCAGTGTGTTTAGACATCCTATATTGAGTATTTGAACGTGAAATTACTGCACAAACAAAACAGATACAAGAAGAACTGGGTCAACCCTCGCCAGTTTCTGCGAAATGAATTATCTATTCCGGGGAACTTCGAAAAAGACAAATGCTCAATTCTCAAGCTTTTCCTTTTTATAATACGTATCGCGAAACAGAATTGCTTATTGAAGCTATCGATTTTATTTGTTTTCTATCCAGATAAAAAACTGTTGCTAAGCAATATATTTTTTTCATATACAAATATCCACATATTGTTTTCCCAATAGTTATTTTCCTAACAAGTGCGGAAAGTGATACTTTCCCGCACGCGACTGCCGTTGACCCGAACGACGCGAAGCGGAGTTCGGGCAAGCAGTCGAGTGCGGGAAAAACACTTTCCGCATGAGTTGGGAACATTATTTTTTCTACGAGCGCGTTCAAATATGAAAACAAAAACTAAGTAAATTGAAAGCGATATATTACCAAAGAAATTTAATTACAAAATTACTTATTTTTACGTTTACTTTCAAGAATGATTGAAAAAAATTATGTATTAACTCGATTTGATGTTACAATAAACAAAATTTCTAAGGTAAAAGAACTGCCCCGCCTCAAAGGAACCAAAAAGTCAAACAATGTCAAAAAAAATTATAACATTTTTGAAATATTCACAAATTAGATTAATATGGAATAAAATAGTAAATAGGAATATTTAAAATAGTTTATGAGCGCATAATAGTATATCTAGCAAAAATGTAGGCAGACAAAATAGATAAAATGTTTGATTAATTAACAAAACTGACACTTCTTCTGAACGCCACTTTCCCGCACTAGTGCGGGAATAGAATTTTCCCGCACTAGTGCGGGAAAAACAAAATCGCGCACTAGTGCGGGAAAGTGACATTTTCGGAACTAAGATGCGTGCGGGAAAGTAATAAAAAATGCACGCTCGTAGAAAAAAGCAATTTAAGTTTTAATTAAGTAACGCGTGAACTTTACATAAGGATTGGTCGTGTTTTGCAAATCTAATCACTTTGCAAAATTAAATCTGGAAGCCGAGAAGTCTCCGTAAACGAAATCAATCACGTAGTTACCGCCACGAATACGGTCTTAATTAAAGTCATAACGATGTTTAATTATAAAGTTAGCAGGCCTTCATAAACAACGACCTGGCAATTTCCAGTTTCTAATGTATATCGGAACAGGTCAAAAACTGATTTTGATTCAAATAAGTCTGTGATTTAAAATGTTTAAATAACAAATTTGTGTGCAGAGGAAACACTCTATAATCCAGTTTTTATTTGGTAAAAAATGACATCGATACTGGGTGAGTGAGTTGTTGAAGAGTCTTCAAATCCGTGGTCATCGCCAATTGTATTAGTTGACAAAAAAAGATGGATCTACTGATTACAGAAAGCTTAACGATGTCACTAAGAAAAACAGCCACCGATTACCCAGAATTGATGATACCCTTAAGACATTGGCAAATTCAAATTAGTTTGCCACTCTGTACTTGAAAAGCGGACACTGACAGGTGGGCATTGACGACAAAAACAAAGAAAAGACAGCGTTCTCCACTGAAAGTGATCTTTACCAATTCAAGGTACCTATATAATGCCTTTTGGAATCTGTAACGCTCCCGCTACTTTTGAGAGGTTGATGGAAATCGTACTACGAGGACTTACGTGGAAAGTATGTCTTGTCTACCTAGATGATTTGTTAGTGATGGGAAGAACTTTCGATAAGCACCTACGAAACTCAGAATGAATATTCATAAAGCAAACCTCCGATTAAATGACAAGAAATGTTCAGTCGTCCAACAGCGCTTTGATTTTCTTGGCCACATAGTTTCACCCGAAGAAATTCATACTACTAGAGAAAAATCCAAGCAACTCGTCTAGACAAATATGAGCTCAGAAGTTTTCTTGGGCTTTGTACATAGGTACTACACACAATTTTGAGAAAAATTTGCTATTTTTTATAAGGTAGCAGCGCCGTTGCATAAACTTACTGAAGAAAAAGCTATTTTTGATTCGACCACCGACTCTGACATAGCTTTTGGGAAGCTAAAGGCAGCTCTATGTTTCAGTCCTATATCAGGCTACCCACGGATATATGGAAAGTTTATTTTGGACACAGACAGGCCATCGGAGCTGTCCTGTCGCAGATACAAGATGGAGGAGAAAGGGTCATTGTTTAGAACTTCTAAAATCTTCATACAATTTGGATCACACTAAGGCCTTTACCCTTTAATTTATTACTAAAAAAAAGGTTTCCAATACCTTTCTTTCCATTTATTATTTACTCGAGTTATAGAACCAAAAGGGCTATACAGACTTTGAAATAGCACGCAATGCGTGACCAACCGTGGATTTTTAGATATATGAGCGTTGAAGGCCTGGAATACTATAATTGGATATCTACTATATACTGCCTTTTATTTAAGATCTTAATTACCATAAAAAAATAATAATAATAATTAGTAAAAAGTTGCAATAATACCTATATTAGGTATAGATATGTAATATTTACTTTTGTCCTCCTATCAAGAAAGTTGTCTAAAAATATACGGAACTTAAAATTAGACACGGCGAGTATTTGTGTATAAATAAAACACTTTTGAATGTTACTCACGAACCTACTTAATTTACGGACATAATGAGTTTGTCTACTTTGCAGTTTTTTTATATTTTTAATATTGATTGGTTAATGCGGAAATACTAATCAAAGTATAGGAAGAAATAATTTCCTGACGCATTATATACGCATTGAATTAATAATGCAGTAACACGACAATAAATAACACAGGTATTTTTTCATGTAATAAATGCGGCACAAAATGTTTCAAATGAAGGTAATAATTATTAAGTTTTATTAGACACGCGAAACGTTAATATTGTTTGTCTATGATTTTATTATGAGGAAGTGTTACAACTAAGCAAATTCTGTGTCAAAATAATAAAGGCCTACAATTTTTTCTGGGTAAATACAACAGCTCTACGGCCAAAAGCCTAACCTGCAAATAAGAAACAAGGTTGTTATTACCTGATTAAGAAGGCGATAAATACCAATTATGTACCTTTGGTCTACAAATAAATTTTCTATTAATGCAGTGCCAAGGGACAGTTTTTAGGGCACGACTATTGAACAGGGAGCAAAATAAATGTTGAACTAGAGTCCATTAGAATCGATATTTTATGTTGTACAAGTATTTTTAGTTTTTATTTGGGTTAGAACAGCGGATAATGACTACATATTTTTCTGATTGGTTTTAAGGTTTAAACATTTTTTATCATATTTTAATGAGGGCTAATTTTACCGTTCACCGTCGGAAAGGTAGGTTGACCAGTAGCAATAGACCTCTTGCATTCAATTAAAATTAGGTATATAATTTATCTGCAACGAAAGTGTATTTTATATACTATATAAAAGTATGGTTGGTTAATTTTTTTTAAAATCTTGAAGCCAGAAATTGAAAGAAAAAAAAGCAGATTATTTGAATTTTGCGCCATATTTTTGCACCAATCAAAAATCACTAATTGGCAAATTTCCATGTTCCAAACGAATTTTTTTTTTCTTTTTTAATACATCGAACAAAAAAGGAGGCATATATATATATCAAAATCGCTTTGTGTATCGACTTTGGTACAGCCCTACTTTTGACTTGACAGAGAAGAACGACATCTATTGAAGTATCGACTAATCTGTGGTATCGACTAGTATCGACAACTTTCTTTCCTTTGTCTAAATGCGAATTAGACAATGAAATCGGAATCTGTACTAATCCGGCACAGTATAAAGTACGAAAACGATAAGAGGGATTTTTGATTTTTGTTTACTATTAGGTCAGTGACCCCTGGCCTGTACAAACCCTTTCTCCCCATATTCCATCACAAACAAAATAAACAATAATTAACAACAAAAAACAGCAGGCTGAGGCTGAAGCAGTGTAATTTGAAGAAAAAAGAAAAAGCATGTCTTTACCTGTGAAAATGTAAAAAGTTAGTCTTTACTCTTTAGAGAAAGTGGTAGGTGTGGAATACAGACACATAAAAATTATACTCGTGTTTTATTTCCCATAATCTACCGTAAAACGAGGTTACTTTGTGACAAATTTTATGGTTTCGGTTGATTTTTCTAAACCTTAAAAGAAAAAAATTATTTCTGGTAGGTCAATGATAAACTTACATCATTTGGCTTTAAAAATACAATGAGATATTTTGAAAATTTTCAGAAGTAGAGCTGTGGTTTACAAAAATAATTGTCAGAATCTCATCCCCATCAATGGGGGGACTTTGTGACAACTGAAAATATGTCCAAAGTCGTCGTTTAGCGGGCCGAGAATATGACACAAATTAGATACAAATGGGACTAATTTTATTAGATTTGTCTTAAATTCACCCCCCTAGTCGTGAGCACGTGTAACTGATGTGTCACAAATTCCCCCAAAAAAAAAATTCATTGAACTTAAATGGTTTATTTGTCTAATAGGTACATATAAAAGTAAAAAAACGTAATACCTAACTTGGAACTAAGGTAAAAAATAAACTAAAAAGAGGTAACTCAAAAAAAAAAAAAAAAGTGGTATTAATATTGTTGGTACCACATAAAGGGTGTCACAATAGTTGTATTCCTTTCACATCTAGGAGGAGCTCTGGAACAGCTCCGGGGCGTCACGCCCCTATTCCTTTCGAAAAGTGTTTGTTG